ATTGAATTTTTCATACTTTTTTTCTGACTTCTAGACATTTCGTTGCTGTCATTCCGAACAACCATCTTTGACACCGGATGTTCGGAAAAAAATCTACTGGATATTCGTAAGACAGAGAACGAATCTTCGGAATGAATTATGCCACATGACGGAGTCACAAAAGATAGACGTTCGGAACGAAAATTTAACGTTGTTCGAGACAAAACAAATGCTGTTCAAAATGGACTTAGATAGAGAGCTGTAAATAAAAGAGAATAGATCTCATAATCTTGAAAGTGAAAACTCGAAAATAATAATAATAATATCAGTCACTTTGATGAACAGCCAAGGCAAAATGAGAGGTTGCCTTCCGCCCATTGGGACAAATACACTTATCGACCCCCCTCATGTATTGAGCCCTCACCATTACTATCTTGAGGGTGGGTGATGGTGTGGGTGTGGGGTGTGGGTGTGGGTGTGGTTGTGGGGTGTGAGGTGTGGCTGTGGCTGTGGCTGATATTATCTCTAGAACAGGAAAAACACCCACACCCACACCTCACAACCACATCCACACTCACACCCGCCACACCCCACACCTACACCCACACCCACATTCACACCCCCACACCCCACATCCACACTTACACCCACCACACCCCACACCTACACCCACACCCACACACCCTCAATACATGAGGGGGGTCGATAAGTGTATTTGTCCCCGCCTATTGATAGTTGATTATTTACTCGACGGCCGGATACATAGTTCAGTTTGTTTCTTGTTTCGACGACGGCGGCGTGACGTAGAAATTTGTGCCCACTCAGCACTATATAACTTGCTACTCATGTGGAAGTTTACTCATTCATCATCACCACTCACGCGTCTATGTATTCAGTTTATTCGCGATTTTTACTTTTTTCTGTCAATGCAACGACTATGCTAAGCCCTTGAGGTTTTTCTGAATCTTTACTAAAATACCGTACGTTCTTCGACCACATAAAGGTTCTGTCTCGACTACATCTACTCACTCTACTCCTTCAAAACAAATTGCACACATTTTCGCATCTGTAACTATGTACCTAACATAGTGAGTAGTGTACTGTGAAGAGAAGAGCGTTCCAAACATCGGTTAACTAGAATTAAAGTGCTGCATTAATAAAAGAAGCAGATTTCTGTTCCGAACATCGCTCATTTTCTATTTCGAACTCCCATGTAAAGTTTTACGAACATCGGTCTATTACTGTTTGGAACGTCTCTATATTTTGATTACAAACACCCGATAGTTTTCTTTACGAATATCCGTTAAAATTATCCAGTTCCTCACACAGAAATGTGTGTGCCACTACCGTACCGAACATCCGTTTTTTTCTCGATGATCGTTCCGAACACCAGTGTTTTTCTAATTACGAAGATCCTATATTTTTATCATAAAAGTGATGATTTTTTGAAGAAAACGGATGTTCGGAATGAAAAGTAGCGACGAAACGTCAAAATGTCTTTTTTCTTCACATAAAAAGCAAGAATTACAAAACATAGACACTGTGATTTAGCATGTGGTTTCAAATAAAAAAAAATTAATCTATAGAATAAAGACTCATAGAAAATTTTCACGTGCTAAATGAGCTATTTTTGACGCTTCTTTGTTGAAAATCCTTCGAAACTGTCATGATATAAGACTGAAAATTTTAGCATTGCCTCCACTATAGTTCTAACATATTCTAAAAATTTCTTGAAATTCGAATTGCCTAGTCGAAGAATAATTTTTGAGGTCGGAAGACATTAAATAACTATAATTTCTCATTTGTAAATGATATGGCTTAGTTATCAAAGTTTTACTTCTATTTGTCAATATTTCCCATTGAGATTACCTATACATAACTCTGCTGCCACAGATGTGAATGCATCATAGAGATGATTTTGAGACAGGATGTAAGAGAAGGTTACTTCATAAGCATCTTCAAGATGTCCATGATGTTAATTCTTCTTATTAATTTTCAACGATAACAGAAACAATATTTTGTTTGTACGATTAAAAGACAAAACATTCTTTGTGTTATCAGAGTTATTCGTTGAGGCATCTTGAGATAGAACAACTAAAAAAAATTGTATTAGCTCAGAAAGATAAGTAAACAGTATGATATGTCCCTAAAAATGCATTTAAACTACTGAAAAATGATTAGTTGTTTAAAAGTTTGTGAACGTTTAAACGCTTTTTTAAGGATGTATAGGAGTGAGCAGTCATTGACAATTAAAAGTCAATTGGGCTACAACTTTTTATACTTGTTACCATTACAAAAATCGATGTTATTGAAAAAATGTTCATTACTCTCAACAAAGAGACGAACTCCTTCACTTTTGTGAAACACGATCTAAAATGAGTGTTGAAGTGTAGAGTAGTAGAAATTTGAACCCTCCTCTTCTCCCACAGTAGACAGAAAAAAGGGATCAGGAGCAATTCTTTTAATGATTGCAGCTAATAAATTAATATTTTGTGTACATATAGCTGAGACTTCATAGCAATTATTTTTGCTAACTCAGTGTATCTTGCTTGACGGACTACTGGAAAATGAAGTTATCGACTGTCAAAAACTAAAAATTAGCAAAATAACAAGTAATTGTTCCATTATAATGTTATTTAGCAAAAATGAGAATACGGGTACTACTGCAGTTTAGCCACACTCTTACCCTCACTCACACACTGATTGCTGTGTCCAGGGTACTAATCAATGTAAGAGTGTGGCTAAACTGCAGTAGTACCTTCATTTTTTTTTTGGATAATACTGGCCGTTTATGATTTGATTGGTCGACGTTAGTTACAAATAATAATGAGCTCAATTAATAGTTTTAGTTAGGTAAATGTTTACATAGAAGACACAGTCTCTTGTTTTAAATTTTTATTTATGCATCAGATAATATTTTGAAAATGTACAGATGAGGATGAAAAAAAAAACAAGTGCTCAAACTCAACTCGAGTCAACAACTATTGAAAGAAATTCATCACACTCAAATGTTTAGGTTTGACATAAGTCTAGTCGTGACATTGAAATCAGCTCACTGATGCTCTGAAGTTTAACACAAAAGAAAAAACGAAATGACAGAAATACTTCGAGTCTCTCTGATATGTTGTTGAAAATTTTTATAAATGTTATTTAAAGTTTTAAATCGTTCTGTAATATATTCTGAAACGTATTAAAATGAGTTTTCGAGTTTATCCTATTTTCTAAAGTTCTGTTTAAAACTTAAATTTCTCAATATTCATAGTATGTATTACAATCTTTGTTAGCTCTTATTATGAAAATTATTCGCTTCCATTAACATAATCTGTTTCGAACGAAATTTAGAAATATCGTACAATTCGGTATATTTTTACGAACGTGAGAATTATAAAAAGTATGAAACAAATCATTTATACCCTCGGACAAAAGTCTTTTCTTGTTTTATCTTTTTTATGCAGCCATACTTTGCAATCAAATTTATTACTAAGTAAAGATATGACATGAGAGTTTTATTAGTGTGATCTGTACACTAAAATGAAATAAAACTTTGATGTCATATCTCTCTTCAGTAATAAATTTAATACAAAGATTGATATCATAGAAAGGTAAAAAGGGAAAAGATTTTTGTTCGGGAGTGTACGTCTTACAAGGAAGCTTATGCATTTTCTTTTTTTTGATATATTTAACTCGTAAGAAAGAGTCAAAGAACCGATTTAAAAATGAAATGGCCAATCTAAAATCTGAGGTTGGTGTATGTGTGATGCTTATTTATCTGTTCGAAAATTGATAGACTAGAACATCAGTGAGCACTATATAAATTGCCAAAAAATTTTGATAGAAGGCTACATTAGAGATACTATATATCGATAAGGGTTTAAACGCACATCATTGCCTATCTGCTGAAGATAGACAATTACATGCTCTACCAAATAACAAATTCAAACTCGAATTAAAGTTACGGGAAAATAAGTGCATTGTTGATCAATGGTTATTCTTTTACTATACTAAGTGTAAGTTTTTGATCTTATTATAGTTTAAAGAATTTCAAGAAGTCCAAATAACGCGGAATATATAGTAAATACATAACACTGTATAACTATATAATAATTCATGATAATAATTAGATCCTCAATTTAAAACATATAATTTACTTATATGATCCTATTAATGATATTCACCAATTTTACGTACTTTGTAGCATCTGCTGCTTAACAGACACTCATTACAAAGCAGCGTTCAGGATGCACTTAAATGCAGCACCATAGTGGCGTCAATGCTAGCTATGACATAGACTCTAATCTCGAAAATCAATTTTGTGGTCTGGCTGTTTACTGTGTTCCCCTACAGGTCGTGACAGACGTTTTTGATACATAATTAGCGAGCATAGGTCATCAGCATCTCATGAGAATATATGAACTACTTCCTTCTTACAGTTCTAGAGGATTAAATAAAAGATGATGAAGAAATGGATATCAAGATAGATTGAATAAAACAATATTCTCGTAATTAGTAACAATAGCTATATTGTTTTGTACATTTTAATCCCACAGGAATTGTACTAACAGCTTCTTTTAGACTGTTTCACAAATGTAGTCTTTAACTTTCAAATACACTATTGGCCATAAGTCCCTGGATGTGTGATACTTCCTCATAACTTCAATAATTTTCCACGAAATTTTTACCAGAGATAGAGCTTAAAAAACTGTGATCGTAAGCACCAACCCGAGCTCTATCGACTGATATTGTATGGAGTTATGATTCAAACATTAGTTTCACGCCTGTTTACTTGTAAATCAATATTCACAGGTTTTATGGAAAAACAATCGCGATGCTAGAAGACTTGTTTAATCTCTAAGTTATTTCGTAGCTCGTTAATATTAGTCTACTGTTCTCCAGAGATGCCTTTATTGAGCAATAAATGCCCACTGCGTATTTCTGTAACAACTTACGAAACAACCTAAAGATTAAACAAGACCTCTAGTATCTCGAATGTTTTTCATAAAAACTGTGAATATTGATTAATAAGTAAACAGAGGTGAAAGTAATGTTTGAATCATAACTCCATACTATATCAGTCGATAGAGCTCGAGTTGGTGCTTGCGATCACAGTTTTTTAAGCTATCTCTGGTAAAAATTTCGTGGAAAATTATTGAAGTTATGAGGGAGTATCGCACATCCAGGGACTTATGGCCAGTAGTGTATTTGAATACATAAGGTCAAAAAGCATAAATAAGTAAAAATAGTGTATTTAAGTAGAATAACGAGTGTTTTGACACAAAAATACCATTGAATTATCATCATTGTGAGCATTGGTTTAATGGAAAAAAAATAGTCAGAACAAGATACAATGTATTAACGCGGTGTTACTTATGTTTTTGTACTTGTATGTGTATCAAGATTTGTCGGCATTGGGCAATTACTTTTGACTCAGTGGGCCATTGCCCAATGGCCGTACCCATGGCTACGTCATTGTTCCGACTCTATCGAAATGATTGCAGCTGAGAAAGCAGAAGACTATGACAGTTTTTGTTCTACTCATCGAGATGTGCCTACCATAAAAAATTTCAAATATTTTTGATGTGCCGTTCTTCAGAATCTCCCGGAAAGAGGATCGAAGTCCTCTTAAATTCTCAATGATAAAATTTTCACTTCTATATATTTCTGCGCTTAACTCTTGATAGATGTTAAAAGAAATTTTTTTTCTTCTTTATAGGGTTTAAAACTTTTTTTATTCTTAATTAGTTTAACAGTATGTATTATTGGTATCTTAGTATTTTATAACGTAACAAATGTGACAATTTCATGGTCAAATATCAATATAAAAAACAGGTCTAATTTTACTATTTCTTCTCCTCGGCTACCAATTAATGCACAATTATCAACAGAAAATATTCGTAAATTTGCTGTATTTGCATCATCTATTCATTCTAAATTTCGATCATACATATTCTATACACCAATTACAGCAGCTGCATGGCAACGAATAGGTTATGAAGTAATTGTTATTTTTGTCGGTGATTTTACTAATAATAGTAATCCAACATTATCACTACAACTTAATTTAACTCGAAGTTTATTAGAACGATTAGGAGTACATGTAATAGATTTTCAATGTGATAAATCATATTCTATAAAAGTGTCACAATTAGTACGTATGTTTACTGGATTTTTATCAGATACAATTGTAAAGGATACAGATTATATTATAACAACAGATAGTGATATTATTCCACTACGTAAACACGATTATACAATAAAAAGTAATACAAATGGATTCATTTATAATGCATTTTGTTGTGGTTCATTTAAACGACGACAAAAAACTTATCAAATGTATCCAATGAGTCATATATGTCTTTCAAAACAAGTTTGGCGTAATTTATTTCTTGAATCAAACCAACGAAATGAACTTTTAAATTCGAATTTATCGTCTTCAAATGCTATTCTACTTTCTGATAAAGCTCCATTCTCATTTGATACAATAAGTCTTTACGTACGACAAGAATTCGGTCAATTATATGATTCTAATATGGCAAAAGGTGATGCAGCATGGTATATGGATCAAGTTTTTTCTTCAATGTTATTAAATAATTATTGTGAAAAACATCGGAATTTTACAATTGATAAACGTGATAGAACACGATTTCGTCTTGATCCAGGTTTCTCGCCACATGCTTGGCAATTAGACAAATTAAAAATATATGGTGATGCACATCTTATACATGATCCAATATTTGATCCATATCATTATGCAATGTTTAAAAATTTACTAATTTTTCTGTTTAATTCATCATTAGCAAACGATTTTGATTTTTATTACNAAGAAAAATACTTATCTAGTTGAATATGTAGAGATAAATACAAGGGGGAATCGGCGGATTGCCAGGATTGCCAATCCCAAGAAAATTCTGGCAATCTCTATAAATCTCGGCAATCCCATAGAAGTCCCGGCAATCCCGGCAATCCCAAAAATTCCGTGGGAATCGAATGAAGATCCCTGAATTAATTAATGTAGATATGTGAAAAATACTGAAATTATTGCTCATGTTCATACATATCAGAAGCAACTCCATTCAATAAACATTTCTAAAACCATTGCTCTAAGAAAATAATGTAGAGGTATAGAATATAAGTAATTTCTAAATGAGATATCAAATTTCTTTCACAATTTACGCACCAAAAGCCAAATAACAGCCAATTTTGTGGCAGCCTTGATGAATCAGAAGAGTTTCTATTCCTGGTAGAGAATATAACATAATAGTTTCGAATGAAATAAACCGAAGGCTGGAAATTATGGAAAATGAAGCTTCAACGAGCCGGATGTCGACCTAACATGATTTTATCTTCCACTGGAACTAAGCGGAAAACAATATATTATGTTATGCATGCTCATCATTGAGAGGATCTAACACCTGAGCAAATTAAAACTTTATTCAAATCTTTCTGTTCCATATTTCTTTCCTCAGGTAACAGAATAGGTATAGTCTGCTAGTGTATTATATTTGCATTCCATGATAGACATCCTTTCTTCTAAAATAAGGATCTTTTTTTGTGTCGTACAAACATCTACCGGTCTGTCAAATGTAAAACTATTTACAATTTGATGATAATCGTCAATCATACTTCAAATTTAACGGTAGTTATTGGTCACTTATTATTAGTTTTTACGTTGTACATTAAACTTTATGATAAAGTATAAACTTGAAGAAATGCGCGCGTTATGAGGACAATATAATAAATTCTGTTTTTCATTTCAATTGCTCTCATTTTCATGTTGGTATAGTATGAAAAAGAGCAGCTATCCATTTCAAAGGTATCCCATGTTTAACGGTTCAACTGCTGTTTTCTTGATGTTCACAGTTGTGTGCTCAAAGTATAGAAATAAATTACTTATTAGTATTCCCTTACCGTCATTTTATCTCTAGATAGATAAACAACAGGTAAAGAATTATTCTATATCCCCGGTCAAATAATGTTTTCGATTAATAATATCGCTACTGCATTTGAGATAGGGATGCTTTAGCTCTACTACTGACTGGTCAACTGGGTATCCAAATAGACTGATGCATCGTTGTCTTAAGAAAACGTATGACATAAAGGTTACATGCATTTATTTAGCTGATAACGCAGGGTTCTGATTGTCAGATAAATCGCAGGACAATAATTATTGTTTAGATTTTATTTTTGACTAGAAGCCTTTGAGCAGTAGATCTTCTGGTTCGACCTCAGGTGTGAGTCTACGAAAAGTATCTAACCTTGTATCATAAGATGAAAAATCAAATTGGTTTCTGTATTCTTGGAGAAGTAAACTTCCATGAACTGTAGGAACCAACGAGTCAAACAACTTCATTGCTGAGATGTGCAGTTAAACCGATTCATTTTTCAGTTTCTTAAAACAATTCAGCCAAGACTAAACTTGTTCTGTAGCTATTTTGTCAACAAACAGATGTACTATAGATTTTAACGTACAAGAGTGATGAAGAGAGTTCAGCAGATGGGAGATTTAGGCTTCATATAGAACCAAGAATCAG